CCCAGAGGATTCCAAGGGATGACTGTACTTGCAAGTGGCATCTCAGGCAGGGGACAGTCTTGGGGGACTGAGCCCTCACCTTATGGAATCTGATGCCATCTCCAGGAGAAAATGTCAGAACTGAATTAAGTTAAAGGTCCGTGGGTGTCCCTTGGAGAATTGCTGGGAGTCTGAGGAAAATCCACACACACGTTTTGGTGACCAGAGGTAAAGTATTCTGTGTTGTATGTTGGATGCTGAGTGTGGGAGTAGGAAAAATACTTTGGTTTCTTTCCTACCTCAGACAGGGACCCAGCCCTAGAATTTGCCATGTCTCTAGGTAGCCTGGCTCCTTTCATTGGAGAGTGGTGTGAGACCAAGATCTGGGTAGAAGGCAGGCTCATTCACACATTGTAATACATGTTTTTATAAACAAACACTAATTTTCAAAATGTATTAAAAGGATTTTTCGAACAGTACCTGCAAAGGTCATTCCAAGTAGACATTACACATATGTCAAGTTTTACGAAAACCTCTCCTGTCACTTTTCTCCATGGCTGTACCATTTTCAGCTGTGCATTATTCTTTCCATTCATTCCTTCTGGTTAATGTTTCCTTCACTGGACAGATACTTCTCCACCACCTGAGCAGTGCCCATTCTCGTCCTGAGCACTAGAAACAGTGATGAACAAGAGACACAACAGCCCTTGACCCCAGAGCCAACATCAGACCATAAACCAGATAATCACGGGTTGTAGCGTGTTGTTTGGAGGAAGGAAGCAAGGGAAGAGAGAGGAAGTAGGGAGCTACCTTTTTGGGGGAAGTCAATGAAGACCACTCTGAGGAGCTTGGTGATGAGATGGGTGGGCACAGGCAGGTGCTAGGGGGTTTATTTCGGGTAGAAGGAGCAACAGGTGCCAGTGCTGGCAGTTGGAGGGGCCTAGTGTGTCCATGGGCAGAAGAGTTTTGGTGCTCAGAGTTCAGGGAGTGAGGGACAATGCTTCCAGAGGAGAGAGAAGCAGAAGTCATCTGTGCAGGGCACGGAGATCACAGTTGCCATGTGTGGACTTTGCCCAAGCATTTTGGGTTTTTTTTTTTAGTACCTAGATTTGTTTTGTTTTTAAATCAGGGTCTCTGTTGCCCAGGCTGGAGTACAGTGGTGGCACAATCATGGCTCACTGCAGCCTCCAATTCCTGGGCTCAAGAGATCCTCTCAATTCAGCCTCCTGATCACAATTAGCCCCGGCTAATTTTTTTTTTTTTTTTTGTAGAGATGAGGCCTTACTATGTTGCCCAGGCTGGTCTCGAACTCCTGGGCTCGAGCACTCTTCCCACCTCGGTCTCCCAAAGTGCTGAGATTACAGCCATGAGTCACCATGCCTGGCCAGTAGTTTTAATTTTGAATCAACGTTGATACTGAGTTGAAGTTCTATGCTTCGGGTCCCTGGACAACAAAGGCTACACCCTGGCCATCACTTGTAGAAGGGGGGAGGCCACAGTATTGGTTGAGCTGGGTGGTTTTTGCTCCTGTGGAAAGTACACGTGATGTGGAAAATGAAAGGCACCTGCACTTCTAGAAAAGTTAAGAAGTCAGCATGGAGAACCTTATGTGTCATATCTGGGCTTCCCTGATCACTACAGGTCTGCAGCTGATGGCCTTGGGTGGCACAGCTGTCCTTGTTGCATTGACCACTGAGTGACTCATGCCTCTTTTCTTCTTTGCCACAAAAAGGGGAGAAAGAGTTGATTCATTGGTGAGATCCCTTTGGCCCTAACCCACTGGTGTCGTTTTCTTTTTCTTTTTTTTTTGAGTTGGAGTCTCACTGTCGCCCAGGCTGGAGTGCAGTGGCCGCTCCCAGCCACCACACCCTCGACCTACTGGGTTCCGGCAATCCTTCCACCTCAGCCTTCCAAGTAGCTGGAACTACAGGCGCATGCTACCACGCCCGGCTAATTTTTTTGATTTATTGTAGAGATGAGGTCTCACCTGCCCAGGTGGGTCTCGAACCTGCGGGCTCAGGCAATTCACTCACCTCAGCCTCCCAAAGGCGCAGGATTACAGGCTGAGCCACCGAGCCTGGCTACTGGTATCGTTTTCAACAAGCCTGGCACATCCAGGACACATACAACTGGCCTTGGATCCTTTTCAGTCACCGCAGAGGGAGCAGTACACCCTCTGCTTGTACTGATGTCACCACCTGCCACTCCTCACCACACAAAGAATTGGTCCTAGGCCTCATCTCCCATGTCCCCCAGCCCAGTTGTGACACAATAGTGCGGGCTCTTCCTCTGAGCAGAGTCTCCCCAGACAGGTTGATGGTCTGACCCCTTTCGGGTCCTCCAGCCTCTTTGCCTTCCTGAGCTCACTGTTCTTGTGGGGGAGCCCTGAGGGAGGTCCCCTTGGGAGGTCTGGCTCTGGAGCCTGAGGTGGAGGCTGTTCCCCAGCCACTGGACCCCTCCTTTCATCTCTAGCCTTTGGTCACCACATCCCTGACTTTGTCATCTCCCTTGGCCACTGGGACTCTATAGATTTCTACCAGAGACCATGTAGCAGTGCTCCACGAAGGAGACCATGGCCATGCCGCCCGTGGAGACAGATGTTGGTGATGAGTAGGCTTCATTGGGCAGGATGAGGCCAGTGCTCCTTGGCAAGGGCTGAAAGGGTTGCACCTACCCAGATGACACCGGCACCCTCAGCCCGAGCCCAGGGCTGTCATGACTCGTTGGCACAGAGTCAGACTCCAGGACCTGCTCCCCATCTAGTTGGATAGTGAGGACACAGGCTCTCCATGATTCTCGCCACTCTGGGAACAGAGCTGTGATCACAGGGTGGGTGAGCAGCTCAGGCTGACCTGGCTTGAGTCCTTTTCTTACCTTTATCATCACATTACCTTTCTGAGCCTCAGTTTCTTCATAAACTGGAGCTTATAAAACCCACTTAGAGCCAGCGTGGTGGCTCAAGCCAGTGCTTTGAGAGGCTATGGTGGGAGAATCACTGGAGGCTAGGATTTGGAGGCTGCAGTGAGCTATGATCAGACCACTGCACTCCGGCCTGGGCTGCAGAGCAAGGCCCCCATCTCTAAAAACAAAAACCCACCTAGAAGGACTACTTGAGGGACCAGTGTTACAATTGTTGTAGGATGATTTGCTCAGGAAGCTCAACCTATAACAGCACCCAAACTTGACATTGGTAAGATCTTGGTATTATCAAGACTCCAGAGCTCTTGTTTTTACTCCGGTAATGCCACTTCTGGAGTTTCTCACAGACATGCTTGCCCACGGGCAGTGTGATGATGACACAAGGCTATCCACAGCACCCTCTGCACCTGCTGAGAGTGGGCAGCACAGAACCCATGCAGGCCCCACGATGTCTCGCCTCAGCAGCTTGTTTTGGGCCCACAATACCATCAAGAGGAAGACACAGTGTATGATATGTAGCCATGCGTGTAAAAAAAAAAAAAAAAAAAAAAAAGGGCGG